GGAGAAAGCCAAGGCCGATGGGACATGGCCCTCCCCTCAGAGGAAACACCCGAAATACTGAGTCCAGATAAGTTTCAACAACTAGCCAAAAGACAAAAACATTAAAAAAAAATAAAATTAAAAATTCCCCCCCCCCCCCAAAAAAAACAATACCAATGTCAGTGAATTTGAACTTTCTCAGCACCAATGTGCGTTGCATATTCAACAAAATGGACGAGTTACTTACCTTTACCCGTTCGTGCTCTGAATCTCAGAACGAACTATCAGTCATTGCAGTCCAGGAAACCTGGGCTGACACATCAGACCCTGACAATCTCTATGCAATCTCAGGCTACAAGCTGATCAGAGCTGACAGACAGGACTATGGTGGTGGTGTTGCCTTGTACATAGCGGAACGTTTCAACACAAGGGTACTGACAATACCAATGACAGCAGCAGAATGCATATGGACGAGAATATCCACCGGTAACCTTTCCCTCGTTGTTGCAAACATTTACCGACCACCCCGTAGCGATGGCACCCTCTTCTGTGCGGAACTGGAAAGAAGCATCAAAACCGCTATAGCCGAAGGTGACGACCTCCTACTACTTGGAGACTTCAATGCCAAGAACAGTGCGTGGCTCACCACAGACAGAACAGATCGCCTTGGGGACGACATACAAACTCTGCTACACACATACGGCCTCACACAACATGTCAGATTCCCTACTTACATCCACCGACAAACACCTCTCTCATGTCTAGACCTTGTTATCTCCTCACTCCACAGCAATGATATTCATATCCAATCACTTCCACCGTTTGGCGCATCCGATCACACTACTATCAGTGGCCACATCAATAATCAACTGCCCCCCATAATTAACAACTCCCCTCCACGATCCAGAAGCACCACATTCTGGTCATGGACAGACAGCACTATCCACCTTCTTCGAGAAGCCCTTTCACGCACAAATCTCAACCACCATCCAAACCAACACGACCCATGCCCAGTTGACACCTTCTGGCGATCCTGGCGCGACAATGTCATGAGCATCGCCCAAGAACACTGCCAAGTTACTCGCACTCACCCCCCTTGGGACAGGAAGAACGTGCCAGCACGACCATGGATATCAAAGGGCCTCTTGAAAGAGATCAAGGATAAGCACAGAAAACACAGAATATACCTTCACTCACGCTCGCCTGACGACTGGAACACGTTCACTGCCCAAAGAAACCGTGTCACCACCCTCCTGCGTCGTGCTAAATCGGATTTCGTAAACAACTCAACAGCCTCCTCTACTTCCCTACACCGCCTCATGAAGCACCTAACTACAGCTACAAAACAACGCATACCCGAACTCGTCAGCCAAGCAACTCCTGCAACGACACTAGCACAAAAAGCCACTGCCCTCAACGAATTCTTCATTTCACAGAGCAAGCTGTCCGTGGCCAATGCGGATGAGCAAACTCCAGCCATCAACACCACCCCTGACATCCTCAGTCCCCTTCAAGAAATCTCGACTTCCCAAGCTGAGGTCGAAAAACTCCTCCGCGGAGTTGATACCAACAAAAGCCCCGGGTTTGACTCTATTCCAAACCGCCTACTCAAAGAAGCGGCGAAGGAACTTGCACCGTCCTTATCGTCCCTCTTTAATCTATCGTTCCAAACCGGAGAAATCCCACAGGAGTGGAAAGATGCCACCATTACTCCAGTACCCAAGCCGGGTGACCCAACCCAACCAACAAATTATAGACCCATCTCTCTCTTGAGCACTACATCAAAAATCCAAGAAAAAATTGCACATCAACTCCTCTACAAGCACATCACACCCCACCTGCCCAACCAGCAGTCCGGATTCCGCAAGAAAGACGGCACTGAGCAGCAGCTCGCCCGTCTCGTCCATACCCTCTCCACTGCGAGAGACGACGGGAAACACGTCAATGCCTGCTTTTTCGATCTAAGCAAGGCCTTCGATCGTGTGTGGCATGCAGGCCTTCTAGCAAAACTCTCCCACTATGGTGTCCAGGGCAACGCCCTGGAGTGGTTCCGACGGTACATGTTGGGGCGTCGGCAAAGGGTCCAGGTGGATGGCGACCTATCGCCTTTCCTCGAGATCCCTGCCGGCGTCCCTCAGGGATCTGTTCTTGGGCCGCTTCTATTCCTCGTCTACACCATAGACCTTCCACACGCATGTGAGAATCCCAGCACCACCTGTAGCCAGTTTGCAGATGACACCGCTCTGATTTCCATAGCGAGAACTCTTCAAGACTGCACCCGAAACCTACAACAGAGTGTCACAGCAGCTGGAGACTGGCTTCAAAGATGGCACCTGCTGGTTAACACAAAGAAAACAGTCATCCTCCCGTTCTACCACAATAACCGCCCCCCTGAACAGCTACCCCAGATCACCCTCAGGAATAGTCCGCTTACCGTAGCACAAAAACACAAACACCTCGGAATAATCTTTCAGCATGACCTCCGTTGGACGGAGCATGTTGAATACATAGTCAAAAAATCACTCAAGTCTTTCAATATTCTTTTTAGACTAAGGTCTACACTCACCAGTGATTCTTTATCTCACATCTATCAGACATACATACAACCTATATTCTCATATGCGAGCAATGCTCTCACACCGTTGTCCCACACTTCCCTTGACAGGCTAGAACGACTCCAGCGGAAAGCCGCCAGAATATGTCTCCACCTTCCCCTTTACACACACTTAGAACACTCCCACCTTTTGCATCGCATCAAATGGCCAACATTATTTTCACGCTTTAAAGTTAAACATATACTCTTCGTGCATTCTCTGCGCCACAATTATGCCCCACCACTCTCGCTGCATACTGCTAGCAACGTGCAACCTTCGTATAATTTACGTCGCTCTCGTACTTGGCACTTGCCAACTCCGCGGACTGACCGCTGTCTCCATTCTCCCCTGTACAAGGCCCTTCATTACTTTAATTGCCTGCCCACCCAGCTTCGCGAAATCCCTTCTCGTACTCCCTTCAAATCCGAGATATCCCTGCTGTTGCACAACTCTGTATGCTCGTGTAGCGACCACCCCTGCCCGTACACTTAAGTACGCAACTCTGTATGCTCGTGTGGCGACCACCCCTGCCCGTACACTTAAGTAGTCATTAACCCCTAGGCCCTGCCCACCCAATTCTTCCTCACTCTTTCTCCTTTCTTACACTATTATCTCTTATTGGCCACTGGCTATCGTGAGAATAAAGATTTGAAACAACAACAACAACAACAACAACAACAACAACAACAACAACAACAACAACAGCAACAGCAACAGCAACAGCAACAGCAACAGCAACAGCAACAGCAACAGCAACAGCAACAACAACAACAACAACAACAACAACAACAACAACAACAACAACAACAACAACAACAACAACAACAACAACAACAACAACAACAACAACAACAACAACAACAACAACAACAACAACAACAACAACAACAACAACAACAACAACAACAACAACAACAACAACAACAACAACAACAACAACAACAACAACAACAACAACAACAACAACAACAACAACAACAACAACAACAACAACAACAACAACAACAACAACAACAACAACAACAACAACAACAACAACAACAACAACAACAACAACAACAACAACAACAACAACAACAACAACAACAACAACAACAACAACAACAACAACAACAACAACAACAACAACAACAACAACAACAACAACAGCTAGCCCTTGACGGATTATGCCGGCATAATATTAATTTTGGCATAATCTTGGGATTTCGTCAAAATATTATGCTCCGGCATAATATACGGATTCCAACTTGTAAGGTCGGCATGATCTTTCGGTTTAGACAAAAATTATGCTTAGGGCATAATACAGCTTTGTCCTCCGGCATAATGTACGGATTCCAACGTGTAAGGTCGGCAATCGGCATAATCTTTCGGTTTAGACAAAAATTATGCTTAGGGCATAATACGGCTTTGCCAAAAAATTATGCTCGGGCATAATATGGATTCCAACGTGTAAGGTCGGCATAATCTTTCGGTTTAGACAAAAATTATGCTTAGGGCATAATACAGCTTTGTCAGAAAGCCCTGGGGCCGCGTGTGTGTATGCGTGGTTTCTCAATCCTCTATGTACAGCGTGAATACATAGTGGAACCGAGCATAATTCAGCATAATTCAGCATATTTGTTGGCATGATTGTGGCATAATCAAAAGCATAATTTGACGATTGGCCGAGGATAGTCCGCCAATGGCTAACAACAGCAACATTAACAGCACTCCAACACACCATTTCACGCCAACACATAGTAGAGTACATAGTATTAGACCTGCCCTGTTGATCCACGATCAGCCAAATGTACAGTCTGTTGCTGAGTTGTACACCAGACCACACACAAGCAGCTACTACAGTGTCTACATTGTCAAGTTGCTCAGTGACGTCATGTCATTATGGTGACATGTGTTTGGCAACAACCAGTTATAAAATAGAATTTTACGACAATCAGATTGACAACACCAACACCACCCTGGTCTGTATGGGACTGTACCCTAAGACATGATGTCATCAGCTCTTTGTCCGTGTTTGATGAGAAGAGCGTAGCATTGAATCGTGATTGGTTACAGGTAGTACCAGGGTTGTTATGCCTTATGGGGTAGTGGGGTAGGTCCACCGGTGCACCATTATTAATTTTTTATAGTCTACATGTGTGAATGTGATTCTTGTCACCAATGTCAACAACACCTGTTATGGTCTCGGTCGATCGGTCTGTGCAGAGCGCGACGACATCGTGCAGACGTGCAGCATATCACGTGACAAACCACGACACACGCGACAAGCGCACACGCAGTGCTGCGGACACGAGATGCCTGAGTTCTCGCTAAGGCACACAGCCACAAAGCTAAACCAGTATGAGTTATGTATGAGTAGATAGCCGTCCGTGGTCAGCCAGACGGTGAGCATCTCTTGCCATTTACCACATGCATGTAAAGCACGAT